GAGGGATGGATGTAGGGTGGGTGAGGAGTGGCTGTAAGGTGGGTGAGGAGTGGATGTACGGTGGGTGAGGAGTGGCTGTAAGGTGGGTGAGGTGTGGCTGTAGGGTGGATGAGGAGTGGCTGTAGGGTGGATGAGGGATGGATGTAGGGTGGGTGAGGAGTGGCTGTAAGGTGGGTGAGGGTGGATGTTGCAGTTTAAAATGTCTATATATAATTAAACATTCCCTTTTAATAGTAAATCACAGAATTCAGACAAGAGAGTTCTTTATATAACACATATTTATATCATAAAATACTATTCTTAACTAACCCTTAACTAATTATGCTAATTAATACACATTTAGAAAATGGAATGTGAAAGTGAGGTCCCACTGAAGATAGTAACCCAATGATGCAAACATGGGGACAGATTCACGAAGCAGTTACACAAGCACTTACGAACGTGTACATCTTTCCTCAATCTTGGACGCCTTTGGTTACATTTATTAAACAGTTTACAAGCATGAAAACTTGCCAAACAACTGTTGTTACTGTTATAAACAGCCTCCTGGTGCTTCGGAGCTCATTAACTGTTTAATAATTGTAAACAAAGCCGCCAAAGATGGAGAAAAAGATGTACAGGTTCGTAAGTGCTTGCGTAACTACCTCGTGAATCTAGCCCATGGCCTTTGCAGTATGACCCTTGCAATATTGCCCTACAGAGCTGCAGGGACGAGGGCACCTGGAGCGCTGCAATTACGTTATCCACTCCCGTGTTGATGAGGATATCCTCATAATGAGGCCAGAGTGTGCCTGTGCAGACTCTACTGATTGCATATTCTTGTATGTGGTAAGTATATTCATTCTGCGAGATGGAGGCGTCTTTGTATCTCAAACCTGGCTATAGGGACCTGGCTCCTGGCTCTGTGTAACCCTTCATATAGTCTAGGGCACCTGTATAAATGTCCAGGTACCTTAGTATCACACACCTGGCTCTAGACACACACTGTGTAACCTAACCCTTCATATAGTCTAGGGCAGCTATATAAATGTCCAGGTACCTTAGTATCACACACCTGGCTCTTGACACACACTGTGTAACCCTTCATATAGTCTAGGGCAGGTGTATAAGTGTCCAGGTACCTTAGTATCACACAACTGGTTCTTGACACACACTGTGTAACACTTCAAATAGTCTAGGGCAGCTGTATAAATGTCCAGGCTAGATTCACGAAGCAGATACGCAAGTACTTACGAACGTGTACATCTTTCCTCAATATATGACGGCTTTGGTTACATTTATTAAACAGTTTGCCATGAAAACTTCCCAATCAACTGTTGTTATTGTTATAAACAGCCTCCTGGTGCTTCGGAGCTCATTAACTGTTTAATAATTGTAAACAAAGCCGCCAAAGATTGAGAAAAGACGTACAGGTTCGTAAGTGCTTGCGAAACTGCTTCATGAATCTGGTCCCAGGTACCTTAGTATCACACAGCTAGCTCCTAGGCTGTCTCGTATCCCAGCTCCCAGCCTGTCCTCATATCCCTGCTCCCAGCCTGTCCTCGTATCCCAGCTCCCAGCCTGTCCTCATATCCCAGCTCCCAGCCTGTCCTCATATCCCAGCTCCCAGCCTGTACTCGTATCCCAGCTCCCACCCAGTCCTCGTATCCCAGCTCCCAGCCTGTCCACGTATCCCAGCTCCCAGCCTGTCCTCATATCCCAGCTCCCAGCCTGTCCTCATATCCCAGCTCCCAGCCTGTCCTCATATCCCAGCTCCCAGCCTGTCCTAGTATCCCAGCTCCCAGCCTATCCTCATATTCAACCCGTTCTCGCAAATTCGTAAAGTCAATATTGACTTATTAACTACGTGCATAGGTGATATACTAAACCTAATAGATACGCTTAAAAAGATTCATAGAAAACACCGACCTTACCTAACCTTGTTAGTATCTTAAGATAAGCATCTTATTGCTTCGTAATTACAATTATTACTTAACCTATACCTATTATAGGTTAGGTAATAATTGTAATTACGAAGCAATAAGATGCTTATCTTAAGATACTAACAAGGTTAGGTAAGGTCGGTGTTTTCTATGAATCTTTTTAAGGGTATCTATTATGTTAAGTATGTCACCTATGCACATATTTAATAAGTCAATATTGACTTATTAAATTTGCGAGAACGGGTTGTCATATTCCACCCAAAGCTACAAAAGCATGTTAGCTACGACCTTTCTCCTCAAATTCACAAAGGTTGCAAAAGATGTGAACGCTACAATTCAGAGTGGATAAGAATAGGAGCTGCCTCGCATGGACCAATAGGCACTTAGAAGTACTTCTAAGAAGGCTTCTTAAGTCTCGCGTCAATCATACTTATAATCTTGTACTCACCCAGAGAGCAGGTTTCCTCAATCTTGCTGATGTTGAAGCAGCTTTCCTTGTTGTGGTAAGCAGACTTGCACCAGGAACAGCTGATGGCCACGATCTCCTTGGAGCCGAAGAGCAGTTTGGACTGGAATCCCTGGAAAGATCGAGTTACCGTTATAACACACTGAAGAAAGAGATTGACAGAGATAAGGTAATTAAATCCCTGGAATGACCGGGGGGGGGGATAACAGGCAGCATCTGCAATGATAGGAATGTTGCAGGCAAGTTGCTGGAAATCACGCCTACCTCCTGGAAAGAAGTGAAAGTGAAGGGTAACTCCTGGAAAGTAGTGAAAGTGAAGGGTAACTCCTGGAAGTAAGTGAAAGTGAAGGGTATCTCATGGAAGTAAGTGAAAGTGAAGGGTATCTCCTGGAAAATAGTGAAAGTGAAGGGTATCTCCTGGAAAGTAGTGAAAGTGAAGGGTAACTTCTGGAAGGAAGTGAAAGTGAAGGGTAACTTCTGGAAGGAAGTGAAAGAGAAGGGTAACTCCTGGAAGGAAGTGAAAGTGAAGGGTAACTTTGGAAGGAAGTGAAAGTGAAGGGTAACTCTTGGAAGGAAAGGAAAGTGAAGGGTAACTCCTGGAAGGAAGGGAAAGTGAAGGGTAACTTCTGGAAGGAAGTGAAAGTGAAGGGTAACTTCTGGAAGGAAGTGAAAGTGAAGGGTAACTTCTGGAAGGAAGCGAAAGTGAAGGGTAACTTCTGGAAGTGAAAGTGAAGGGTAACTTCTGGAAGGAAGGGAAAGTGAAGGGTAACTCCTGGAAAGCAGTGAAAGTGAAGGGTAACTTCTGGAAGGAAGTGAAAGTGAAGGGTAACTCCTGGAAGGAAGGGAAAGTGAAGGGTAACTTCTGGAAGGAAGTGAAAGTGAAGGGTAACTCCTGGAAGGAAGGGAAAGTGAAGGGTAACTCCTGGAAGGAAGGGAAAGTGAAGGGTAACTTCTGGAAGGAAGTGAAAGTGAAGGGTAACTCCTGGAAAGCAGTGAAAGTGAAGGGTAACTCCTGGAAAGTAGTGAAAGTGAAGGGTAACTCCTGGAAAGTAGTGAAAGTGAAGGGTAACTTCTGGAAGGAAGTGAAAGTGAAGGGTAACTCCTGGAAAGCAGTGAAAGTGAAGGGTAACTCCTGGAAAGCAGGGAAAGTGAAGAGTAACTCCTGGAAAGTAGTGAAAGTGAAGGGTAACTCCTGGAAAGTAGTGAAAGTGAAGGGTAACTCCTGGAAAGTAGTGAAAGTGAAGGGTAACTCCTGGAAAGTAGTGAAAGTGAAGGGTAACTCCTGGAAAGTAGTGAAAGTGAAGGGTAACTCCAAGCAAAAAAGTGAAAACCACATGAACAATTATAGGATAGTTGCAATCTTTTAAAACCCGATGTGATTTTTCTAGATGGAAAAAAAACAGAAACAAAAATTGCATGAAAATCCTGTAATGCCAAAATATTCTTAGAAGCGAAGCACACTGCATGTGGTCTAACGAGGCGGGAATATTCCTCTTACTGCATCAAGGAATCATCACGGCGCTGCACTTGGAAAGAATTCCATAATTACGGAAAAATTGACAGCGAAACCATTAAGGGAATGTTATGCTAATTCAGCGCAATTTCCATCAAACCAGAAGCGTGTGCAACTGTGTAGCATCAAATACGATATCTAAAAGTATTACACAGCACCTAAGTTGCCATTAAAGTTTCAGCATCAAAGTTACAGAATTCAGTTCCGGTTGCACACACACACACACACCAACATAAATTATTTAAAATAAAACGAACCAGACAAACGCTATTCAGTTCCGTTCTTGTACGACACCTCTACGACACTTTTAAGACACCTGTACGACACCTGTAAGACACTTCCAGACGTCATTTTGCATTTGATGACGTTGCCTGGGGGCGAAACCTTCCTCCTAGTCTGCTGTAAGTCTGCTGTAAGCAGACATAATACCCTTTTCCCAGCTTACTAGAAGGGGCAATAAGTATAACAGTTACCAAAGCAAACTGCCTTTAAAAAATCCGATATCACCCCAAAACAGACTCGTCCGTCTGGGCATAAGAGCCATCAGGTGCCCCTGGGAGAGTAGTAAAGATGCCCGTAAGACGTAGAAATCCCTATCGAGAGTCTGACTCGAGAAGACAATGTCCTGTAACCTGACATGATATGGCTAGGGGTTAAGGGAATGGTGTGGTGGTTGTGGTGAGAGAATGGTGGTAGGAGGTAGAGTGGTGGTGGTGGTGGTAGTGGTTCAAGGAAGCAGCGGCGGGTCCTGTTGCAGGAAACAAAAGCCAGCTGCGGTAACCAGCAGGTGTGTGTGTGTGTACCATTTGGTCGATTTTCCAAGCCTGTTGTTCGACAACTGTCCCTCGAGCCTTTGGAAAAAAGTTTTGGCGCGGGTTTGTTTTATTGTGTTTTGGACACTGGAGGGTTGGCGGGGCGGGGCCAGAGGCGGCGTTTGGGAGTGCAATCTACATTTATTGTAGTGTATTAGGGGGGCCTTTAACAATTAGTTGGTGATGGAAATGTTCCTAGTTAGAGGAAACTCACTCACTCACTCACTCACTCACTCACTCACTCACTCACTCACTCACTCACTCACTCACTCACTCACTCACTCACTCATCCCCTAGCACCACAACCCTCTTGTCTCCACCCTCTCCCTCGCTCCACAACACAATCCTCAAGTCATACCAACTACACCAAACCATTAATAGAGTAACAAGAAATTTCCAGGTCCTCGGGATTGTGTCCCGGGGGAAGAGAGAGAGAGAGAGAGAGAGAGAGAGAGAGAGAGAGAGAGAGAGAGAGAGAGAGAGAGAGAGAGAGAGAGAGAGAGAGAGAGAGAGAGAGAGATAGAGATATGAAGGTAAGGAGAGAGGAAACTAGAGGACGGAGAGGAAGAAGGCAAAGCAATAAAGGTAAGAAAGTAAATATAGGGAAAGAAAGGGGAAAGGGAGGGATGGAAGGATTAGTCCCGTTCCGTGTCTCATTGTTATTCCTTAAAACAACACAGTTTGCGGGATGCGGATCACAACAATGTCCTATACCACGACCTGACAGTTAGAAGACGCACCACGCTGCTACATAAACATACATATACATAGATATACATACATACATGCTACTTGTCACCGACAAAAATGATGGTCATACAGGGGCAGGAGCAACCAGATATCCGCGCAAATCTACGGTGCCAGCCCGCCCGAATTCAAGTACTGCCGAAGATCGTCCAACGACTGAAAATATTGCGGACTGAGAGATTCATCTCTCATCTCTCCACTCGCTAAGACCACTAACCCACTCTCCCATGACGAGCTTAATAGTAGCCCATGCATCTAGCGAGTCCAGAGAGTCTGACTGATCAAGAGAGCCGGGTCCATCTCTGCCGTGGCCAAGAGGAGCCCCTGTGGGCGGAGGTGTCACCGAACTCCCAGATCTCTGGGAGCACAGTTACAAGGCTGTGTGTGTGTTTATAAGGTGCAAGATGACGGCGGATCTCATGTCTGAATCAGTTTGATGGATGTAATGAGTGTTTTCACTAATGAATGAGGTATGAATATTTTTTTAATTAATCTGATAAGGTGTGTTATATTTACCACGAGTGTTCCAGCCAGGCACGGAGGAACCGAACACAGAAGAGAACTATCAAGGAGGAAAGCGCCAAGCCATTACGACTATATAGCACCTTGAAGGGGTCAGGATAAGGATTTGGGATGGGGGGAGGGAATTTCTCATTTTTGACTCATAGTTTGACTGAGAAACTACACGAGTGCTGTCAATGAGGCTGGCAAGTATAAGCCGCGAATTCCGCGAAATCATTTGCTTCTCGGGATTTAAGAGACAATAACGGAGGTTCACTGTATGTGTAGGTGGCGTACAGTACATCGTTATTATTGGGACATTATAACTGCAGTAGCGTATGCTTAATTTTGGTGTATTTACATGCTCTAAAAACATGTAGATCTCTTGTGTACAACGTATGTATTATCTCTGTGTTCACATTGTCGGGCTTTGATGAATGATGAACGAATTCAGATATGTAATCATCACTGAAAATTACCATAGATATGAAGGATACTAAATTATTGACGAAATTGAGGGGGCGAGAGAGAGAAGAAATCTGCTTCGGAGAATAATTGAAGTTGAATTAGTATTATTAAGATATAAAGATTATTATACCATGTTTAAAGATGACCTCAATTATCATTCAACTTCCACTCTTTCCGAATTTTGTTTTCCACCCTCCCTCTCTCTCACCCCCTCCCTCTCTCCCTCTCACCCTCTCCCTCTCTCTCTCACCCCCCTCCCTCCCTCTCTCTCACCCCCTCCCTCTTTCTCACTCCCCTCCCTGTCTCTCTCTCACCCCCTCCCTTTCTCTCACCCCCTCCCTCCCTCTCTCTCACCCCCTCCCTCTCTCTCACCCTCTCCATCTTTCACCCCCTCCCTCTCTCACCCATTACACCCTCCTCCCGGGCTCTCCTCTTCCTCAATCTCTCCTCCTCTTTCAACCCCCCCCCCCACCCTCTTCCTCTTTTTCAACACTCCCCCCATCCCATCTACAATCCGAGTCCTCTTTCCGTCCTGTCATCTACATCCTCTTCCCCTTACAACAATCCCTAACCCCCCCCCCCCCTCCCCTATAACTATCCCGCATCCTTTTACAACACTTCCCCTTCCCTTACCTAGCATCCATCCACTATCCCTGCAATTCACCTACCCATCCCACTGCCCCTTTCCCATTTCCCCTCCCATTACCCCGGGACCCCCCCTCCCCCCTTCCCTTGAGAATAGCACTTATACCATTGTCTTGAAATATTCATCAGACGTCAATAAGGGTCTAGTTCAGCTTGGGGAAATACTGCACTTGTCACGACCGGCGGCCATCATTAGAACGCCGTGGGGGTGTGGGCGTTGTGTGTGTGGGAGTGTCGTGGGAGGAGAGAGGCGTGGGAGTGTGGGGGGGGGGGTGTAAGAGAGGGAGAGGGTTTATGTGGGAGAATTATACAAGAGTGGTATGGCCAAGAGGGAGGCCCTAGGGAGCCGGTCGGCCGAGCGGACAGCACGCTGGACTTGTGATCCTGTGGTCCTGGGTTCGATCCCAGGCGCCGGCGAGAAACAAT